CTCTGGACGGCCGTGGGCCCGGAATGGAGACGGGGTGGGGGGGGCGCGAACGAGGAGAGGGAGCGTGAGGAAGGGGCGGTGGGGAGATGGAGTGGAAGAGGGATGGGGGAACGAGGAATACAATGGGTACTGAGAGGACGAAGAAAAACGAGGAGCACGAGAACGAGTAAGTGAGGCAGATTTCAGGAAGGGGGGGCGCAGACGAGGAAGAAGATGAGGAGGACGACGAGGATGGCATAAGAAGGGAAGAAGGGGGACGAAACAGGAGGAGGAGGAGGAGGAGTACAACGAGAGCGAGAAGGAGGACAACAAACAGAAAGAGGAGGAGGAGGAGGAGAAGAAATACGAGGACGAGGAGAAAGAGGTTGATGGAGGCTAGGACATGGGCGGAAGGGAGGAATGAACACCTGGAGATTGGGGAGATGAAAGGGCGGAGGGGGACGGGATAAGGTAGGAAGAGGAGGGGTAGGATGGTGTAGAAGAGGAGGGAGGGACCACAAAGACGACGAGCAGGAGGACCAGCAACAGCAAGAGCGTGATGGTGGTGATGATGGTGACGATGACGATGCTTACTGCTTTGGGCGGCGTGCGCCTGCTCCACTATGGGAAGGGCCACGCCACAGCGAACGGCAGATGCTGACCTGGCCCTCGTGGACCTCGGCACCCTCCGCTTCCTGGCCGCCCTCGTGGCAAGCCCGGCGCGCACCTGGGTGGCCTCGGTCAGCGTGGCCGCGACGCCGGCCCGCTCCCAGTCTCGAACTTACCATCGCTCGGACGTCCATTCCCCGTGCACTTTTCGACTGCGCGCGTGCATCTTTCGCACGATGATCCAGGGTGCTCCCCGATGGTCCTCGCCAAGAAGAGAGGCACACGTCCGAGCGATGCCAAGCCAGCCCATCCGAGACCAACCGAGAGCGCGCTGTGCCAGCCCCGGCCCGAGGTCGGGCGGGTCGCCGCTGGCCTCGTGGGGCGAGGCAGGGGCCAGCACGCCCACTCCTCGAGCAGGGGATGGACTGCAGAATTGCTGTACCCCCAAAGTGATGTCTCGCCGAGTCTACGAAACAAATACGCAGAATGCTCGCAGATCTACAAACACTTTGCGCATGCTTCGTAGGCCCAGCGGGGCGACAGTTTTTCGGCGGCGGGAGAAGGGGGGGAATGAGAAGGGCGGGCCTTCTCAGAAGGCTCGGAAGTTCCCTGGCCTGCTGAGAAGTTTCTAAGCCTTCCTCGCCGACGCAGAAAACCTCTCAGAAGGCGCCAGGGCTTCTGCGAAGTTCCGAGGCCTTCTGAAAAGGCTTCCCCTCCCCTCGCGCGCCGCCGAGGTTTGGGGCAAATCCATTATGCAGCCGATCTCCCACTCGAGCTCCCCCGCTCGGCGCGGGTGCCTCCCTTTCTGCCCGCATCTCGGGGTGGGCAAGACGGGCGGCAAAAGGGCAGGTGCGCGAGCCACCCGCACGCAGCCGGTGTTCCCGTCGCCTGGGGGCGCCCACGAGCGGGCGCGTATCGAGGACTGCGCCCAGCAGCGGGGCCGCAACAAGCTGCGCGCGGCAGACTGCGTATCACTCCCCACCCTGTACCGTCCGCCCCAGGCCTGTCTCGTCACCGCGCCCGCTCCTCCTCCTCCTCCTCCTCCTCCTCTTCCTCCTCCTCTTCCTCCTGCCTCCTCCTCCTCCTCCTGCTGCTCCTCCTCCTCCTCCTCCTCCTCCTCCTCCTCCTCCTCCTCCTCCTCCCTCCTCCTGCTCCTCCTCCTCCTCCTCATTCAGGACGAGGAGGAGGAGGAGGAGGAGGAGGAGGAGGAGAAGGAGAAGGCGGATCGCCGTCGCGGCGGCGGCCCCGGCGACACGCTATCCGTTGCGAGCGGATAGCGCGTCGCTCCGCTCCGCGGGGCGGGAGGCTGGGGACCCCTCGGGAAGTGGGCGCCTGGAGACCTGGAAGTGGACAGCGTGTCGCGCCGCAGCGTAGTGGACCAAAACTGGCTGCGCGACACGCCAATCGGCGGCGAGCCCCGGGGGAAGTGAGAAGGGGCGGGCCTTCTCAGAAGGCTCGGAAGCCCCCCGGCCGTCCCGCTTCAAGCTTTCCCCGAAGACACGGAAGACTTCTCAGAAGTTGCCAGGGTTTCTGAGAATTCCCGCCACCTTCTGAGAAGGCCTTCTCCTTCTCGCTTCCCCACTCGCCGCCGAGATTGGACGGGGGACGAGGCTAAATCCGTTCAAAATCAGTCCCTGGACTCCTTCCGTGGTCCATCTCCAGTTTTTCACTCCGGACCTGGTTTTGACTGCCCCGGGGCCCGAAAAGGGCCGCCGGAGGCCGAATAAAGCAATACAGCTCCCCGAACGCAGAACCTCCAACCGGCCCGCCCTTCTTACTTCCTCCCCTCGCCAGCCGCCGACGATCGATCGGCCATGGGCTGCCTCTCCACACGGACTTGCTCCGCGCGGACTTGGCATCCTCCTGCCGTGCAGCATACCGCACCACTCGTGGGGAGTGCTGCCCTCCGCCCCGGAGGCCGGGCCCTGCCTGCCGAGCGCTGGGCGTCGCTGGCGCAAAGGACTCGGACCTCTTCGGCCTGTGAGGCTTACCCGGGAGGCCCGCTGGCCAGTTGTAGGTGAGGAGGGAAAGGAGGAGGAGGAGGAGGAGGAGGAGGAGGAGGAGGAGGAGGAGGAGGAGGAGGAGCAGGAGAAGGAGCAGGAGGAGGAGGAGGAGGAGGAGGAGGAGAAGGAGGAGGAGGGAGCAGGAGGAAGAGGAGGAGGAAGAGGAGGAAGAGGAGGAGGAGGAGGAAGAAATAATGAGAAGGGGCGCGAAACGCAATTGTCTTCGCGCCCCCGCGGGCGAGCTTCATTGTTATGCTGTGATCCGCCACCGTGCCTCCTAGCACGTTGAAGCGCGGTAGACTGCCACGTGCTGCCTGGCAAGGTGTCTGTATTCGAATAAGCGACCCCCAGGCCCTCCCTCTACAGCTGGCCGGCAATCCGATCAAGACAATCATAAGTTAAAACACCTGGGCCGGCTTCCCTGAAGTTTCTTGAAACAAGCCTAGGCCAGATTCTGTTGCTACCGCTGAAAGGGCGAGCGTACTCAAGAAACTGGGCTGGCTTTCCGGCAAGTTGGTTAGGAAATGCTGGCCCAACTTTTCGGGAGGACGTCTCTTGAGCAGATACTCGACTGCGCATGGTCGTGGACCCGTGCGTGGCCCACCCCTTCCCGAGGCCACGATCCCTCGAAAAACAAACTGTGGATCCACGCGCCCGAGGCCACGTCCTCTCGTGACGAACGATCGATCCGCGTCCCGAGCTTCCCGGGCTGCCCATGCAGGCAGCCAAGGACACCAAGTGGCCCAATACGCCCCGATGACGGCCCACTATGGCCCCAAGGCGGCCGAATATGGCCCAACGACTGCTCAAGAGAGCCCAGTAGGGCCACAAGAGAACCTCCAACAGGGGCCGAAGAAGCCACGATTTAATGCGCTCCCTTTGCTCCCAACCATCCTGTGTTGAGTTGGGTCCTCGTTTCGAACAGACAGCGCCCCGCGTCTCTTTCCTCTCCTCCTCCTCCTTCTTCTCTCTTCTCCCATCTCTGTCTCTGCCCTCCGCATATCAACCACTTCGGCGCACCCCTCACGCGTGGCGTGACCCCATAGGGAGCTCCAACCAAGGCCCAAATGCCAGCGTTCGCATGGCAGCGCCACCTCATGTCGGCACACCCCTGAGACTTTTCGTGGCCCCGCATGAGGGCTCGAACTAAGGCCCAAATGCCAGCGTTCGCACGGTCGCGCCGCCTCACTTCGCACACCCCTCGAACGTCTCGTGGCCCCACAGGGGGCCCCAAATAAGGCCAAACTATCAGAGTTCGCATGGCGGCGCCGCTTCATGTTGGCACACCGCTCGCTCGTTTCGTGGCCCTAAACGGAGCTCCACCGAAGGCCCCAGTGGCTGCCCGTGGCTGCGTTCGCATTACGTACCCGCCCTCGATTCGGCACACCCCTCGCACGTTTCGTGGCCCCACGGGGAGCCCAAACTAAGGCCCAAATGCCAGCGTTCGCATGGCGGCGTCGCTTCATGTCAGCACACCCCTCACACGCTTCGTGGCACCACAGGGAGCCTCAACTAAGGCCCACATGCAAGTGTTCGCATGGCGCCGCCGCCTCACTTCGGCACCTCTTCACACGCTTTGTGGCCCCAAATGGAGCTCCAACGGGGACCCACATGCCAGCGTTCGCATGGCGCCACCGCCTCATTTCGGCACACCCATCACACGGTTCGTGGCCGACACTAAGCCCAAATGCCAGCGTTCGCACGGCGCCGCCGCCTCATTCCAGCACACCCCTCACACGTGTCGCGGCCCCAAAGGGAGCTCCAACCAAGGCCCACATGCAAGCGTTCGCATGACACGCTTCGTTGCCCACAGGGAGCTCCAACTGAGGCCCCAGCGCCGGCGTTCGTATGGCGCCGCCGCCTCATTTCGGCACACCCCTCACACGCTTCGTGGCCCGAATGGGAGCATCAACGGCTCCAATGCCAACGCCCGCATGGTGGCACCTCCCGGTTTTGGCACACGGCTCCCCATCCTGCATCCCAGCTGCCTTGCGGGACTTGCGCCTGCGTATGGTTGAGTCTCTCGCCAGGCTATGTTTTGACAAGGAAGGTTGGTTTGCACTCCCCGCCGCCCCTGTCAAAAACCAATGCAAAGTGGTCGCGGGGTACCCGCGCATGCTCCAGATTTGGAGGCACTGTGTACTTTTTATTGTTGCTTGATAATGATAGTGGGGGGGGGCAAGGGTTCGGGTTGGCTGCTGGTCGTGTGGTGGAGGGGGTTGATGAATAAGGAGCAGGGATCGCGGTACCCCAAGACGCAACCGTTTTGCTAACTCCCACCAGCCCTCCCGCTGCATAGCAACAACCATGTCTCAGCACAGGGAGGAGCCGCCATCGACAACCATCGGGAAACAATGCCGACGCCAGCCAGGTGCGCGATGCCCGCGAGGTGCGCCGCACGTGCCAGGT